GAGCGGGCGGGGCATGGAAACAGTCGCAGGAGGGCGGCGGCAGCAGTGGACGCTGCTGGTGCCGATGCGGCACTAGAGCGAGAGCCACATGTTGAAAACCATTCGCCCTCTATCGTCGTATGGTTATTGCCAAGGCGAAGACTACATGTTGGAAACGACCCGCCCTCCATCCGTGTAGCTGCTGGAAGTTTGAAGTTTACGGTCCTCCATGATACGGTTCTGGCGTCCTTGAGAATACGGCAAGGTGCAGTATTCCACGCCGCGTCGCGCTGGCCCAGGGGATCCAGGTCGCCCACAGGCACGCGTATGATCGCACTTCGCGCCGCAGTCCCCCGACTGCAAGCTGGGTCTATGCCCGCCCAGGGGCAGTTGCAGGAAGCCCGATCGAAGCTCACGCTGGGACATCGAAGTCGTTGGCTTCCCGACACTAAAGACAACTGGGGCGTGTTTCGAAGAGTGTTTCAATTTGCTGCGTTCGCACGATGACCGTGGGGTTTTTGTTGCGTCACGCACGTTTCCATCAGCCAATCCAGATGCAATCCCCTGCTGGCTCGTTGGAAGTTCTGAAGCACGAAAGCATGTTGCGGAATAGAAACGTAGACACATGGGAACTGCCGATACCAATGGGAGCTGCTTAGAGGCTTTATGGAACCTTGAATCTGTCGTTGGGCCCATCAGTTGGGAGCCTTGGATGTACGTGTTGGCTTGTGTTGGGACCCCCTCGGGTGCCTTCAAGCAAGAAGGAGGGCGTCATCAGGCCCATTTCGGAACCAGAGACGTAGTTTCTTGGAACCGCTTGGAAACACTATTTGGCGCTTTTGGGGGCCGTCGAGGAGCCTCTACCGCGCCGATGCATGTGCCTAGATATTGGCGTCTGTACGTCCATTTTCAGGCCTCATCGTAAGCAAAAGGCCAGCACACACAAACACACACTGCGCACATTCTGGTGCTTGATGGTGTTGGGCCCTTCCAGGATATCCTTGGAAGGCCCTGTGAAAAGACAAGTTGTTTTGGGGCAGGATTTGGGTTTCTTGTAGGCTTTTTTTCGGTTAAGTATTATTCTAGACGCTTTCCGCAAAACCCCGCCAGCCCATCCACTAACGATGCCTATGGGAGTTGCCCGAATGAGGGCTGTGGAGGAACATGCAGTGGAAGAAAGGGCTGGGGAACCCTGGGTACCACAAGAGGAGGAAGGATGGAGAAGGAATCGGAAAAAGAGGACGGGGAGGGCCAGCAGAGATGCCAGAGGCCTCTTGGATGCCTCTCGGAGCCGCTTCGGATGTCCTCTTGAGAACCTCTTAGGGGTTGCGGCGGCGTGGGGGCTCCTGGCGGTCCCGGGGACCTGGTGGAGCATCTTGGGTGCCTCGGGGGAGCATCTTGGGAGTCTCTTTGGGGCCTCTTGGGGACCTCTCATAGGCCTCTTGGGGGCCTCTTGGGGCCTCCCGGGCGCCTCTTGCAGCCTTCTTTGGGGCCGGGGGGGGGCATTTTGGGACCACCTTGGAGGAGCGAGTTCGATCAAAGAAATGGGGTCTCCAAATAGGGCCCCTGCTCGTGAGACCAAAATGGGCCCCCAACCTTAAGTACAATCAATGGGGCTCCTTGGTGGCATGCTGTTTGGGGAGGCAAGGTGACTTAAGTGGCGCCCTTTGGGACCACCTTGAAGGTTCTACTTCGTTGCGAGGGGGGGTCTGGACCGAGGGGTGGAAGGAGAAGCGGGAGATTGGGAAATGGAGGAGACACTTTTCAATAAATCATCTACGCAGCAGGGGCTGGTGAGGTTAAGCCTGTCACAGGCAACCACCAGCATGCGAGGAGGATTTCCGACCTCGTGGCTTGGGAGTTGCTAAATGCAGGAAGACGTAGCATGCCTATACATATGGGACTTGTATATATCTACATATCTATATCAGTGTACAGAGCCACACAGAAAACGTACATCTACATACCCTCCCACATACACGTATACATGCATGTGTGTGCGTCTGTGTGTTTACGTGAATGTGTGTGCGTCTATGTGTTTACGTGTGTGTGTGTGTGTGCGTGCGTGTGCGTGCGTGCGTGCGTGCGTGCGTGCGTGCGTGCGTGCGTGCGTGCGTGCGTGCGTGTGTGTGTGTGTGTGTGTGTGGTTTGTGTGTGTGTGTGTGTGCGTGTGTGTGTGTGTGTGTGTGTGCGTGTGATTCTGGCGTGCGCGCCCTGCGTGCAATCGAAAAACCCCCCTGGGATGCTCAACGGGGGGGGGCGCCAGAATTCCTTGGCCAGAACAGAAACAAAAAACGCAAAGACACGTTCTCTTCTCCCACATGTGTGAGTTTTTGCCAGATGGATTTGTGTTCCACGTTTGTGAATTTTGACTATCCAGTCCACTTGTCGGATCCAAAATGAATCGATCCCCTCCACATCGTCATCGTAACCGCGGCCGCCTGCTCCACCCCTCCAAAGAGCTAAGCTGCATCTTGCAGCCACCTTGCGCGGCGACGGTGCCGATGGCCATGGCGAATGGGGCGATCCCGGCGCAAAGGGGCAGATTGGGATACGACAGCAAAGTGCAGCATGATTATGCCAAATGCGCAGGGGCATGGTTGAGTTCCGTAAGCGAGTGCGTACTATGGCGCCCAAGACTATCAAGTCCATTACTCCAATGACCACAATTTTCTGCGCCGCCGCACCGCTGCCCCTAACCACCTTTTCAAGATGCCCGCGTACTTCGAGTGCAGCCGGGCGTGCGGGATAAGTCGCAATGCGGGCGAACTCCTTTGTCAAAGAGGATCGTTTTCAGTATGCATCGGGTTTTCGCCAGAATTGCGTGACGACATCTGGCGCTTCCGCAAGCTACCACGGCGTGAGCAATAATTTCGCATACGCGATTCCAACGACTCCCCCCCCCGCTTCATAATTTTCTGGTCTTTGGGGGCGCCGAAGAGGGGAATGATGACAAACACGGGTGTATCATGGCAGGGACCATTGTATCTCCCAGATGCGTCTTTGATTCTTTCAATGCGTTCTGTGGTCCGCTCTTGCCTGCGCACACGCTTTTCGCCGCGATGCGCTAATCCCCCTTCCCCGGACCCCCCAGGATGCCCCAGGGAGAGGCAGGAGCGAGGAGGACGAGGACAACGACGACGACGAGAACGAGTTTGAGGACGAAGAGGAGGAGGAAATGGAACAAATAGAGAAGGAGGAAGGAGGAACGGAGCAACAGCATCAGGCAAGAGGTGGCAGAAGGCCGAAGGCAGGGGGCAGGAGAAGGCATGGGGACAAGGAGGAGGAGGAGGCAGAGAGAGGCGGAGGCAGGAAGATGAGGCAAGAGGAAAAGGAGGAGGCAGGAAGGTGCAGGAGGAGGGAGCAAAAGGATGTTTTCGGGTCGCCCCGTCGGGGTAATTCTGGGGAGCCTTGCCAGCTATACCCCCCGAAACTAGCGAACAATCCTAAGCGGGGGGGGGAGGCATATGCTTATACGCAAGCGTACCTATACATATATATATATATATATTTATATATATATATATAATACATATACGTATAATACACACACATATACATGTATATATATATATATATATATATATATATATATATATAAATATAGTTGCGCACCCCTCGTCCTGCCCCGAGCCCCACTCGCGACATCGGCCGCGAACGCGCTGTCGCCTAACAGACCCAAAGCTTTAATTTGGGCACGGCCCCCCTCAACTCGTGTAATGTTGGACTACGCAACGGGTAGAATTTCAACGCGGGAGAAGAGCGCGCGCGTTTGTATGCTCAAAACGGGTATCGCGGGATTTTCCCCTCCCTCTTTCCCCCACGGAAGCCTCTGGAGTTATCTGGCCGAGGCCCGCTAAGGCTTTCAGAGGCAATTCGATGTTCATGCCTCCACAAATGCAGATATGCCCCCGCGTGCCAGCGCGAGTGTGGGCGCAGGCGCTGGTTTGTTGGTTGGCCGATTTGTAAAACGGTTGGGCGCAGGCGCTGGCCTTTGGGCCGTGCGCCCTCGACGCCGGGCGGCGGGTCAGCAAGGTGCAGGCGGAGGGGGAAAGAGTTCGAGGAGGGCCTTCGCGCAGGTCGCGGAGGCCGCTGCAGCAGCAGGGGGCGGCGCGGCAGCCGCTAGGGGAACTCGAAGATCAAGCCGTTGCCGAAGAGACCGTTCAGACACGCCGCGCGGCGTGCCATATTTGCCCTGAGCGGGTCATGCTGGAAGACGCCACGGCGTGCCTCCGACTGACGGACGGCTACGGCCCTGCCGCCGCCGGGGCCCGCGCGACGGCAGGGCCCGTTTCGCGCGGAGGGCGGCCGCGGAGGAAGGCCGGCGCAGGCAAGAGGCGCAGGAGTGAGCACGGTGGAAGCCTCGCCTGATGGCGCTACTCGAGGAGATGGGAGCGCCCCCCCTCGAGACGGCGCAGACCTGCGTGGACTCGGAACGGACGAAGGACGGCATCGCGGGCCGCGCGCGCATCAACGCGGTGAGGTCGCACGCGCGAGACATGTAGACGATGCGCAGGTGGCTCGCGCGCGCTCGCGGCCCCGTGGCCCGTGGCGATCGCGCCTTTCATCGACTGCGCGCGCGCCAAGACTGCCGTGCCCCGCGGGCCGGCGGCGCCCAACAAGACCCTGTGCGTTGTGGTCTGGCTGGGGCGGGCCGCAGATTCAGGCGCGACGGGCAGGCCTTCTGCTAAGCAGGAGGCGCAGCAGTTCGTCGCGAACGTGGAGACACTCCTCGACGCGGGTATAGAACCAACGACGAGGGCGGCGCCTCTTCCGCAATGCCCATCGGGGCTTTGGAGCGGCTGGTCATCATGACGGCCTCGCGCCGTACTTGCGCGGGGTGGGGTCACTGCGCCTCGTCGCGGCGCGGGCGGCGCTGCGTTGCGTCGACCGCAGTTGGTCTCCGACGCTGCGCGTCGCTTCCGCGGGTGGAGGGCCGACGCAGCCGCGCGGGGGCGCGCGGAGACCAACGGGGCAGCGCGCAAGATGCAGGCGCTGCCGCCTGCGGTATCTCGAGAGTG